CCTTCCTGTATGGACCGAGGGCCCATCCATATGCAGATGGCTAATTTGTAGTGTTTACAGAGGAGCAAAGAGGGGGCCGACAGCTCATGAAGAGGGTTGAAAAGAGGCTGCCTACGTGTCACCCCAGGAGCCCTGGTGGTAAAGCTTCTCCTACCAGAGCAACAACATAAGTGTTCAATCTGTGTTTGCTTACCCGCAGACACCGATGGCTGAGTCCTGGCCTGGGGCCCGTAAATTGTGCCTTTTTTACAGGCCCTGACAGCTAACAGGCTATTGGGAACAGGGGGCCCAATGACACAGCCACTCAACAGATTAGCACCTCATCAGCCTCCTGCAGCTTCGAACAAATACGGTCCCAGCCTCCTTTAAGACACAATAGGGCCGCCACCGCTAAACAGCCCCCTGCCAAGAGAGCCCCCACCCTCCACCCAGCCACAAAACTTCCTGGTCTGGTCTTTCTCCGGGCCACAGCTGCATCAAGGGGTCCTTCCCCTGTCCCTGAGGCCCACCCCAACCCCAATTGGCAAGATGTGTGTATTTCAGGTGAGCAAATATTGCCACTTGACTGAGAGTTCAATGGCCAGCCCTTTCAGGAGGGAGGGGTGGGGGGTGCATATTGCGCTTGCCTGCTTTGCAACAGGGGTACATGTGGCCTCACACAGCAACCGGATCCATAGGATGGGTCAGGGGAATTCTCCAGGCACAGCTGGAGTCAGCAAATCAAACATACCTATATAGCTCATCTGCATTTTCCCAGACTAGGAAACCATTTCCAGCTTTCATTTCCTCTCTCTCCTCAGCTTTTACAACAACCGAATGTTTTGATCTCCCTCCCAGCCACCACACACATAGCTTTGGCCTTTTTTCCCCCTGCAATACACAGTCAAAAACTTTGACTTAAAGGCATAATTGCCTTCACTATCTTTTTATCAGCGTACCCTGAAATCCCCTGCAAATGGACACACATATCTTCCACGATTCAGGCCATTAGGTAATAGGCAAACATGCAGGGGTATTGAAAGTTGATCTTGTCAACCACGTGCCATGTTTTTGCACACTTTTTGTCTCCTACACACACATGCTTAAGGTAAGAATGCCCTCTGAGGTTGCATTCATTTTTCTCCCGGGTCTTAATGTGGAAAGAACAGATAGGGAAAATACATTGCGTGTGAGATTGTTTTAGAGATTTGAGATAGGGAGAGTGTTTCTTGGGACTTGTGCCCTTCATCGAGGACAAAGGGAGCAAAAGTGAAACAGACTGGCTACTGAGTGGGTTATAGTCAGTTACAGGCAGAGGGCACTGGACTGGAACTATGGGAACAAAGCCTATAAGTCTACAAGCTGTAAATGTGTTTGTAACTTACTGTGCCGTGAGAAACATCTTAGCAATTACACAATTTGCTTCTTTTATTCCGCTATTACTGACGATGTAATGTAATAGGATGCTGTGTTTACAGGATGACCGTTTTAAGTAATCAAAGCAATCACTGTATTACTGGTCATGACAGAGAGACAGCATTGTGAGGATTAAAGGCCGCCGGCTGAATGTCACACCAACAGGTTCCTTGCAGCTAAAGAGTACAGGCCAGCTTAGGTAAAGGCCACAGGCCCGCAGCTGCAGCCAGCTGTGTAGTGGGTCGGAAGATGATGTGTCAGTGCCGAGGACCACCTTGATCCCCCCCCTCCCCCCACCTCGGAAGTCAAACAGAAGAGTGGGTAGCCGTGTCCTGAGAGGCCTTCTCCGCCATCACAGTGAAATGGAACTGGCCCAAAAAGCAAACAAGATCCCCCCCCATCCCTCCTCCCCCAAGCCCAGACCAACCTTGTCTAGGTGATGGGTTTTTCTGTTGTGCTGTTTGTTTGCTTGTTTGGTCTGGAGCCCATGGATACCCAGCATGGAGTGGAGAGGAGAAGCGGAGGAATGGAGGACATAGGGACAGGTGGAGAGGTGGTGGTGGTGGGGGGGGGGGCGAGGATGCATGACACACAGACCTCCCCTTGAGGTGACGAGAGACCTGCCGAGAAGCTAGCGGGCAAAGCTGCTTGACAAATACACACAGACCCCAGGATCAGGACAGCGAGGACATATAGCTGTCTCTGATCCTCCGACAGATGTTATTTCTCACACACATCGGACAGCGCAGTCTTGAGTCATGTCAAGATGGAAATAAAGTGGATTTCTATGGTTGAATGTGAGAAAAACTCCAGTGAAAAGCTAGTTGCACAGGTCATTTCTAAATGCTATAGACAACAGTGCACATACCTGACGCTATATTTGTAAAAAAAAAAATAAAAAATGGAAAGAATCTTTATCCATCTTAAAATACACACTCACACAAACACACTCACACACACACACACTTTCAGAGATTTTCCACAAAGACTGTGACTATCCAAATACAATCTCACTGGATTCTCCTACAGTGAGTGACACCCTCTGGCAGCAAAGAGAACTGCTTTTTTTAGTGGAAACAGACAGTGAGACTCTACAGGCACTGACCCCCTGTGACATTATGTATACAGCAAACATGGGCCCCTATATCACTTCTTTGTTTCCTTTCTGTTAGTGTTCATTCGATCAACTATAAATTTCACCTATTGCAGGGCCTGAATAATTCCTTGTCATTATATTCACAATATTTTAAAGTACTGTATACAAAAAATACTCTTGTAAAAAAAGAATGATATGCTTTGTTGAAGTTCTTTAAAATGATTCTACTCTACTACCAAGACTTCAACTTTCCACATCACAGTTGAATACTGGACCACGATTGGCTGCCAAATTAGTTTTGATGTCACAAATGTGTGCACGTCTTAAAAGAGAGATTTAAGATGAGCACAGAGCGACTTCTTCTCTATGAGCGGATGAGTGTGGAAACAGCCTGCTAGTTTAGGCCCACACGTCTCTGCAGACTGAAGGTTATCCTAACAAACGTCCAAGTGAAGCAACCATTAGCTGAAGTGTTGCTTCAGTGTTGAGGTCTTAGTTAAAGTTGGCGCTGTACTGGACAAATATTATATATATATTTCCTGTCCTTCCCATTCACATACATGGGAGGGAGGGGGTATTAGAAACATTTCTCAATAAAATAACACCTCTATGACTGAACTAAACAAGACTTTATGACAGGAAAAATGGATTACTGAAACCTTTACATCTCAGTCCAGCCACAAGAGGGAGACATTGCACTTTATTTCACATGCAGTTTTGCTCTTACCTCCTTTCCTCTTGTTCACTGTAGCTTCACTTTTCCTCCACCAGGAATCCTTACAATATAACTTAAACAAGCTACACTAAAACATGTGCTGTAATACAGGGATTAGTTGGGTTTTTTCTTTGTTCACGGCTTAATGTGTGAGGACCAACTCAGTCAAACAGTGCCTTTGTATTTGTGCCTTTCAGTCTATACATGTCTTCCTCACAAAGGTTAATGGGGTCATCTGGCCTGCAAAGAGGACCCACATCTTGAAAACATCCAGACGCAGGAGAGCAGTACCATTTAGAGAAAAAAAAAAGAGTAGCTTAAATCTCTCATCAGTGACTATTAGATGATAGCATTGCAATAATGCTAGCCATGATTGCTAACAGTGGTCAGTCGATGTCTACAGTAACTGCAGCGGAGATATTGGTGGAGGAATCAGGGAAAGCTACACTTCAAAGATTTTGGTAAATCGATGACAGCTGTCTATTTTCTGTAGTTTACAGTGAACTGTACCTTCAAACAATAGTCCTGTTTTGAAGCGCAGTCCAGGAATAAGACAATGTATTCATGCTGCTAGAGCTGAGCAACATGTTTGATACTGGAAGGGACTCCATGATAGCGATTTCAAAGTCTTCCACAAACCCCCACTTCACCACCACCCTCTTTAACTATGTCATTACTCCCTTGTGGTGAGCGACTGGCTCGGCAGAACTGCTCGGTGTGGTGCAACAATCACATCCAGCTGCTGAGAATGGGATCCGACATGTGAAACCACCACAACACACGCACAGACACACACACACACGCTCACTCACACATTGTGATGCAACATGCACAAAGCTATAAGCCAGGGCTGCTTATGCATGCATGCCTACTGAGGTGCTGAAATACTAGATCTACTTTTAAAACTCAGGGGAGTGAACAGAAAGAAGATGTTGTTTTGTTTTGTTTTTATTCCATTGGTATGTACTGAATTTTACAAAACACTGACACCTGCCAATCCAGCGGCAACAAAGAGGACAGGAAGAGGACAACAGGAAACAGGAACGTACTCCCAAAACACACCAACAGAGCAAACAACAAAACTTCAGTACAATAAACTCCCATAGTTTCTACTATGTCCACCGTCTAGACAAAAAGGGCTGTGGAAACGGTCCAGACAACATCATAAACAAGGTAACTCACACCAATATTTTGTTCTATGTAAAAACCTTGGTTTGCCGCCTCCGGCGTTGCAACACTTCAGATAGCTAAATCAGAAACACATTCTCCAGAACTGGAGTTCTTTAAAAAGTCACATTCAAGAATACTGCGAAATTACAGAAAAGGATGCACAGAAACATGATGCTCTAACATAGAGTCCATGCCGCGTTTGCCTCATGTTGAATAGAAAACAAAATGGCTCCATTATTGCATTTAATGACTATTCAGTGACTCAAGAAATGAATATTCATGTTAATTTAGAAAAAGGTGTGGAAACACTGAAACAAACGAATGTTTTTGGTCAGGGTCTGTTGGTCACTGTCTCTACGGGAAAGTTGATAAAACGTGCACGCTATTAGCTGCCACTAACAGATCGTACTCTAACGACGTGTCGGTTGAAAATACCTGCAGAGGTTTGTAATAATAAATGGCGACAAAGCAGCCAAAGCCGCATGAGTTTCATCAACTTTCTGCCAATTATCTCTGGTTAAACCTTTGCACCTCGACTAGGCACTCAAACACCGTTTGCTCTCTGTAGCAGCGAATAGTGTTTCTATTCAATTGCTATGTTCAATGGTATTATAGTGCAAAAAATCTACCACATTTAGGAAATACATATTCTTAAAAAAAACATACAAATATATGTGATAGTTCCAGTTTCATGCCAAAAGACAGTCTCACAAACAGATGGGAAATGAGAACAAAACTCATGTGTTTTTAAATTCTCACACTGTAAATCCCTTGTGAAAAGTGCCCTTTACTCCTGGGGTAAGCTCTCTATCCGATCTCTTCTCTCACATAAAGAACAGAGTCATATTATTACTCAAAGTTATCCAAAATTGTGAGTACAATAACTAAACTATTAAGTTCACCTTGTTTTTGGTTTGTGATTGTTTTCAACAACGAACCAAACTCGAGGAAATCCATGGAATGTTTTGATATCGTGCAAAAAGAAGACGAACACTCTTCTCTCCTGACAGTTTCTTAATGCGTTTTCTGTGGCGCGCATCTCCACCTGCATGCTGCTTGTAGCAGCGCATCATGCTATGAATTCTGTTGGGATTTTCCCCACTTCAAAGCCTCCGGAGAACGATTCTCCACCTGATCGGCTTCTCTCTGTTTCCACAACAAACAGTTCTGGGGGGGGGTACATCCGCCGCTCCCAAAAGTCTCCCTGTGAAACTTCTTGTCCTTTTTTTAATACGTGTGGTGTAGTAAGTCCCCGGCTGTGCCACTAGGGGTCCTCTTCCATGTCGTCCAGGTTGGGAGCCATGATGAAGTGTTTTGGGTGAACGAGACTCTGCTCGTCTGCGTACTCCTCCCAGCGTGCGTCGTCGCTCTCGTGGGTGATGTAGCGCTCGCCTCGCCGCGTCTCAAACTCCCTGAGGTCCAGCCATGTCTGATAGTCCTGAGGAACAGAGACATGAACTTTTAAATTATTCCAGGATGGTGCTCCTTCGTGAGGAGGTGTTGCTGACATAAAGTCATTGAATTGTGTGTATGTCCACAGGTTTATACAACATCTGTAATGTAATGTAAATTAATGGATAGTGTGTGTCAGTGTTCCAGTAATATAAGAACTCTCTTAAAGTAGGCCACTACTATGGCAACCTCTATGCAGACGCCTTAGTGAAACGAACCAATCATCCTCATGTTCTTTGATCAGGTGCCAGCTAGTGAGCCTTTCGGCAAGTGCAAACCAGATTTTACTGCAGATGTGTTGTACACAAATGATATGATGCATCCTTGGTTGGAAGCAGGAAGCATAATGTTGGCATGGAGTCAGTAAGTTTGTTTCCGTTTTTGCATCATGGAAAGTCATGCTGAATTGGCTATTAGCAGTTCCTGTTTGCACTTTAACCCATGATGTACTGACAACTATCAGTGGACCGTTGATGCTGAATAAAATATCCAAACGTGATGATTATGAGGCAACATGTTTGGATAGTGAGAGTCATGCTGAATCCAACATTATGCGTATTATGTCTGTGTGTTCAGGTTTGCCTGAGTTACGACTCTGAGAAGAAGAAGAAAGCTAATATGTCACCTGTAACCAGGGATGGCTGAGACACTTGTCAACGCTGTACCTCTTCCTCATCTTGACTTGGAGAAGATTGTTGATCAGATCTGTGGCTGTGAAGGAAATTGAAAATGAGAAGACTGAATCTATAAACTCAAAAGATCTATCATCTCATACCAACAGATTACTTAAGGATGTGCCTTTGAAAGGGTTAGACTCTAAGCAATTCACAGCAAAAGATGAAGATCAGCAAGAACAGGGGTTACTGAAGTTGGTTTACTAAACAACAACACCAGCACCCTCAGTTGTTTCAACTTGTCATATCTTTCAGACTGTATGTAGGGGTGGGGGGGGTTTGCAGCTGGGGGAGGTTTGAGAGTGAGTCACCTCGACCGCAGACAAAGAAAAGTAAGAGCAGTGTTCAGACGACCCAGACGTGTAGGTGGAAAGGACAAGCCTGAGGCTAAATGTCTCGAGTATCACTTTGACATTAAACTACAGGTTTAACCGAGCCGCCAAGCACTTACAAAAGTGAAGGACAAACAAGCCAACCGGCAGATTAGATCAGGCAAGGGTGAATTCCTGCTGTAAAGGGGAAGGGAACAAACAGACAGATTGTTTTAGGTCTTCTTACCCTCCGCGGAGATGTCCTTCCAGGGCGTAGGGGGGTACATGAAAGCAGCATTCTGGATCTGGTCGTTAATGTCCTCGTCCTCATTAAAAGGGAAAGTCCCACTCAAGCTGACGTACACAATGACTCCCACTGACCACATGTCTAAGGAGCGGTTGTAGCCTTTACTGCGCAGCACCTCTGGAGCCAGGTAAGCCGGGGTGCCAACCACCGAGCGCCGGAACGACTTCTCGCCGATGATACGGGCGAAGCCAAAGTCGCACAGCTTTACCTGTGAGAAGACGGAGAAATATGGTCAATGCATCCACACACACACACACATGCGGCCTGCATCAATACATATACATGTCTTTTTTCTTTTTTTCACCTGAGGAAAAGGCTCTGCCGAGGCCAGTAGTACATTCTCAGGCTTCAAGTCACAGTGAACAATGTTTTTGAAGTGCAGATGTCTCAACGCCACCAGGATCTGTTTTGCGAGGAAAAAGTCGAAAAAGCACAGACTTAGCTAAAAAAAACAAAAAAATCCAGATGACAATGATGTAAACTCCAGCGTCTAAATGTTTTAATGCATGAGGTGTCTTGTATAAACAGGGTAATGTTTGTATAGTCTAAGCAGTAGAATCTATGATGCAGCCATATGGAAAAATAACAGCAGCATAAGCATGCAAATGCCCTTAAATACTTCCATCCTGACCGGTACCTTCGCATAAAGACACATGATCTCATCTCATCATCCCATCTATATTCACGAGGCCTGGCGTAAAGCGAGCGCCGCACGCATGTCTGCCTATGGCCTTGTAGCAAAAACCGCAGAGTGCCTGGCTCCCCTATCCTGACCCTGACTTTGACAGAAGTCCTCCCGGCCACATCACAGCCGGGCCCGCCGCAGCTAATGGGGCTGTCGTTGACGGCCCCGCTTCTGTTTGGGGCCCGTGATCCGCGGATGGCCCAGGGGCCTGCTGCTCTTCTAATCAAGCCACAAAGCCACCAGCACACTGCAGGCTGTAATCCACGGCCAGGGAGGGGGCCGTGATGCCATGCAGGCTAGTCGCATAAACAATCCCCCCCACCCCCCAATCAGCTCACCACAAGAATAAACAGGCCCTGGAGCTGCAGCAGACACTCAGTGGGCTGACACCCAAAAAAAACAAAAAGGGAGGACAGAGAGAGGGAAAGAAAGCTTTGATACAAAATAAAACACGGAAAATGCTCGCAAGAACTTTAGTCTAAAGCGTGGAAAGGCAACAGAACGCTGTATGTCTAGTTGATTATCATTATATTTGAGATCAGCTGCTTACAGTTGAGAGAATACAGAGAATACAGTCAAATTTGGCTTTGGAGCGTTCCAGTTAAAGTCAGCCTGAGAGTGCTGGAATCTTAATCTTAAAGGCTTGAGGGGGGAGGTGAAAAAACAGGAGGAGATGGAGCAACACAGTGTGTGTTTCTGCAACACGGACCTGTGTGACCAGGAACTTGGTGATGCGTTCAGGCAGTTTGCTCTTCTCGCTGGACAGAATCATCTCCAGCATGTCGCCGTGCAGCTTCTCCATGACGACGAACACCCGCTCCGGCGTCTCAAACATGCACTCCAAGTTGACGATACCTGGGTGATGCAGATTCTGAAGAAAAGCACAAAAGACATTGAGTCTTCACTGGTTCAGAAATAGTGAGGTAACAACTTAAGGAGAGACAGTGCATAACATTGTAGTGTATATGGAAAGGCTCCCGTCCAGGCCTCTCATACGTGCAGTGCATAGACTTTGATTTCATTGATGGATTCTTGTCATTACCTGTAATATGGCCACCTCGTTCCTTAGCTGGCTCTCCTGCTTAGTAGGAAATCTCATCTTGTCAATAACTTTGATGGCCACATCTCTGCCGCTCTTCCTGTGTTTGCCTAGGATATGATGGGGACATGGTGTAATTAAGAACTTTAAACAAATGCTGTACAATTCACAGTAGAGCTATTTTATATCAAATGTATCAAAAGCAAAACATACCTCCATACACAATGCCAAACTGGCCGGATCCCAGCACCTCATCAGAGAATATTTGGTACACTGAAGCAATATCCTATACAGGGATCATTTTCAATGTTACTGCTGTGTTTTTTCCATGTTGATATTGGCAATCAGTTAAGGTTACATCATCAAAAGCCCGGAAAAAAACAATTGTGCTCTTCCAAAATGTTTTCTGGTATTGCAAAATCATTTACTTTTACTCAATGCAGAAGTGGAACTGAGATGAAAATCCCTTTACCAGCAGCTTCCCCATTCATGCAGCACAAAACTTTAGTAAAGAAACAGTAGGAATCTATTTCAGATTTGACCACAACAGATACTTTAATAGCAAATGAATGTATGTGCATGTGCAGGCTGTGCTGGGAAATTGTACAACAGCTCCTCCCAGAGAAAAGAAGGCCCCACTCACCACGTTCTCCTGGATCTGGCAGTTGGACACAGATATGCTGATGGACAGCTCTTCTGGAGAACAAAACACATGATGTTTCTACATTCAACAACTTAAAAAACGACACTTTACCAAAGCATAAGCGTGAATTTCTAATTGCAATCCGAGACGCATTGCTCAAATACTAGTATTTCTTTTTCTCTCCACAACTGTCAAGCTTATCGCAGCTGCATACAATATGTCACACATAATGAGGCATTTTATTACACAATAAATTGTCTATAAAATAGATCTGGGAAGCTAAGTGTGCCTGAATGGTGCAAGTATGCGATGCATTTCATAACAGACGCAGTGGCTAATTCTGCATGCTGGCCCATACAAAAGCCTGAGATAAAAGCAAGTAGAAAACACGATGCTGTGATCATTCAGCTAATGCTACACGCAAAAAAAAAAACAACTTTTGATTTGGAATGAGAAACTCCCACATAAATTACACCAATATTTACATTCAAACAGATAATTGTCAATTCGTGTTTCTGCACAGTCATGTCAGTTCATTTGTCACCACTGTCATCTCCGAACGGTGATTCATTCATAGCCGTACTTCCTTTAGCCATTAGACACTAACACAGGGGTTTCCCTGCTAAAGCTAAGGCTGGCTACCGTGCTTTTTGAACATTTTAGCCAAGGTGGTGCAAAGTGGGCGCTACTTTCTAATTGAGCAAACCTCAAACTTATTATCAAGACATTTCATTTATTGTAGCCTCTAGCCCTAAGTAACCTATTGTGTTAAGTCAGGAAAACCCCTCTCAGTGATGACTTATAATATAGAAGTCATCACTGAGAGGGGAAACAATTCAGGCAGTCACAAACAACATTATAAACTATGCTCTACATCTCTCTTAATCTCACAATATAGATAGCTTTTGCATGCCAAAAGATTAGGTATGGCTCTTGGCATCTCATTAAGGACTAAATTAACTAAAGAAATGTTCAATGAAACATCATAAAAAATATGAATGTTTAGCACTTTTAAATCCCCTTTCGACACATGACATTCCAATGTCCTATTTAATATGATCGACCGTCTAAATCACCTTTTAGATAAAATTAACTATGCTAGCTCTAATTCAAGTTGTTTTATCATTTATTCCACAAAAACAATGCTTTTTTTAGCACAAGAGAGCTGTCATCTTCCACTTACTGTGATCTTTGCCCTGGCCAGCAGGACTGGCCACACTGGGCTGAGGGGTGACGGGCATCAGGGCCTGTCTGATGGCCTTCTCCCAGCCCTGAGCCACATCCATGCCGACTCCTGAGGCGGCCAGCGCGGGGCTGTGGTAGTGACTGTAGTTGTTCTCCCCTACATAGTAGACCATGGTGGCTGTGATGATCTCGAAGCAGTGTGGGTTGCTGCCCTGGGCCAGATTACTGTAGTCTCTGCACTGTTCCACCTGGAGGATCTCGGACAGAGGGATTTCCTGTGGGAGGGGTGAGGCACAGAGAATATTTCATCAAGTATATTTTTATCAAGTGAGATTTTCACTATCTTTCTCTCTTTCTTCATTTAGTCCACTGGTTGTTGCCTGCACAGTCACAAACAACCAATACACCTGAGGCATAAACAATGTATTGGTGTAGGAAATAACAACATGCATTATATACGTCATATTACCTTTTGAAGGAGAGAGAAGAAATAGAAAGAAATAAAAATACAAATTAATAAAACAATCTACAGAAATTGCTAAAAACGATTTGCTCTATCAAGTCAACAAGTTTCCTTCTTGCTTTAAAAGAAACATTTCATTTTGACACATTTTGTAAAACTTTATTTAAAGGTGATTATCTGATCAAATAAAATACAAACAGAAACAAATCTTACAGTAGCAGAAACTTTTTAAATGATGTAATGCACCACCGAAACCATAACATGACAGAAACAACAATAGAGGTAGTAACACTCACACACTCCAAAAGTCTCCACACTCGTTTGTTGCAATCACACACAGTGTTGACTATATAGTCCCAGCTCTAACTTTCTCCTTTACTTCTTCTCTCTCTTATGAGCACATACAGAGGGGACAGTTTAGCACCCCCTTCCCCTTCCCCTTCCAACTCACTGTCAAATCAAAGAGAGGAGGGAGGGTCGAAAATTAAAAAAAACACAAGAGATGCTCCAGCCAATGGGGGCTCACAGAGGCGCACGCTGTCCCCTCCGCGTGGCTCACCACAGAGTATCAGATGATGTGCTTGTGGTTAGCGGGGCCGGGTCACGTGAGCGGGCCCTGTGGCGGGCTGAAGTGCTCTGGTTCCCTGATTACAAGGCAGGGCCAGCCAGAGGCCCCATATGAGCACGAGCCGCTGGCGCTGCCGCTCGCCACTGAGACGAAAGACACGGCAACTACCGTTCCTCCACAGGGCAGAGAGTTGGTTGGTGGGTGGGTGTGTGAGGGGTGGGGGTGAAGGTGGGGGTATGTAAGTGGTTAGGGGTGTGTGTGTGTGTGTGTGTGTGTGTGTGTGTGTGAGTGGGAGTGGGGGACGGGTGCAACGTTTGAGTGCGACAGGACTCAATCTGGCAGAGACAGAGAGAGAAGCCCCCTCACCCCATAAGAGGTTCTTCAGAGAAAGCCACAAGTACAGGGGTCTCGTCTTCAAACAAGGAGCCGTTATGGCTTCCAAATGGAGAAAATGGCTGCCATGCCTGCCAAGCAAGCCACCACACGACCACCACACTAATCAGATTGGAGGTATAAAAAAAGAGAGGAGAGGGGAGGACAGTGGCCACACACTGATGAGCAGCAGGCTAGAAACTTCAGAGAAGAGGACAGGATGGAGGGTTTCCCGGACGCAGACCGAGCATATGGAGAATCTGTGGTTTTCTGAGAAGAACCCCCTGAGAGAACCTTTTTCTACTGTACGCGCAGGAAATCATCTCACATCATCTATCATCGGATACGTATCTGCTACTCCGAAGCAGCAGCTATGGAACAAAGACCAAACTTTGGAGCATTAAAAAAAAGGCCTTTACAGCTAGCCTTCAATTCGCCTCCTGGAGGTCTTAAACGTAGCTGAGTGCCAAGTTGATAATAAAGAACCACATAAAGCTGCCAGTGAACACACCCTAAAGGAGTCGGTCCCTGCTGAGGTTTCCTCTCTGAGGCTTTAGTGGCAGGGGATGCAGGGTGTGACAAAATAATTGGGAGAGGAGGGTGAGGGAATCAAGATTATTTTTTTCTGATTTGTTTCACAACCAGCATAAAAGGGTAGTAAGAAAGACGACTTTAGAAACAGCTGCGTATAAAACCACCTGTTTGACATACACAGACACACACTCAGAAGTAAACTCTCGCACTGGAAACTCTGCAGAATCCCACGCTCCATCCCACTGCAGCACAAGTCTGACCACAGCTCGAGAAGGTGTCAACGTCTCAAGACACACAAAGCGGCACGAACAATAAAACGATTTTGACACAACCACCAACACACATGTGGAAGTCTTTACCTTGCAGGCTCCCTCCCTGAGTCCTCAGTGTGTAATTACCGTGCTATTAAGCCCCTGCGGCAGTGTAATGACTGACTACGGTGCTGGCACTGAGCGGAGAAGTGTCACGCACTCTCCGCAACTGATTTTACATATCAAAGTTACAATGTTTCACTCGCAGCCACCACTTACTTGGGAATGGAATTTTTGTTTTTTTAAATTAAGACTTCAATTCAAAACTCATTCTCAGGTTTCTCAGACTTTAACTATGATATAGAATAATCATGCATCAAAATTCTCCTCTAAATCCACTTTTTTTTTTTTTTACTTGGGGATCCCTATGGTCAAAAGTACGGCTCTCTCATTAAAACCCCTTCAAATGCCCCATCTGATCTGATCTGATCTGATCTGACTATAGCTAAAGATAGCGACTGTTGGGGACTTGATCCTTTCGCTTCATGCAGGGAAGAGACCAGGCTTCCCACAGGGGGAATTTCAGCGGGCCGAACTGACCTCAGGGTAGTTTACAGTTGCAACACGACAGCCCTCAAGCTGAGTCATACAGCTACCACTGGGTTAGACCGAATTGACATACCTCTCATGAGTGTGATGGACAATATGCAAACATGGATATGAAAATGGATCACTCCTAATGGCTCCAACGTCACCACGTTTGAACCATAAGAAAGTAGCGCAATGGTAAATTTGCGATACACTGGAGCTATAATGGGGACTTCTTATTCATTAAGCTGCTCCATTTCCTGACAGTTCATGAAATGCTTCTGTGCATTTGATGTGAAGGACAAGGACAGGATTTTCCAAGAGATGATAGCTTCATGCTTACTTTGTAGAACTTGGCTCCGGTGTCGTTCTGGAAGAGACTCAGACTCTTGCTCTCCAGCCTCCAGTAATGTCTCTTCCGCTGTTCAAGGGGGAGAACGAACGCAAAGTCAGTCCAAACGACAACAAGCACATCACCCACCGACGTCACAGTGCTTTAGAATTTAGTTTCATGAGGAAAATACCTTCTGTGCTGAATTCAACACATGTGAACAGCTTTGGAGAAGGAGTTTTCCCCAGCATACAGGCTAAGCACAGCCTATTTTTCAGACTGGGCTCCTTATCAGTCTTACCAGGTTGTCCCTGCTCGTATAATGAACCATCCAGCCCTCCTTCACTAGAGTGGAGCTCCGCCTCTTGGTGTGTTTGATGGACTGGACCACCCGCATCAGAGGGATGTTGCTGCTGGTGGAAGGGCTAGACAAAAAAAAAAAAAAAAGAATCAAAATTTCATGAATCAATATGACAATTACTCGTACTTGACCTGAAGCCAGCTCATTGAACCCCTTATATTTATTCTTCTAACCACCCAACGTCTGGTAGGTCAGGAAGTGATGCATTTTATGTTTGCAGCAGGGGCAACACTACTGGAAACATAAAACGCACGCTGCTGGTGTAGAATAAACATAGGAATTGGGCAGTTGGACCTGGTGATTTAAAACATAGCCGCGAAGTCGCCGGTTTGAATCAGGCTGCCGACCTTTCTTTGCTTTTTGTTACCTTTGTTTGTTGCCATGTCTTCCCCTTCTCCCTATTGTTTCCTGTCCCTTTTTACTGTACCAGCCATGTTTGTCTCAGAATGGGGTAGCAGAAATGAAAATGTCAAACAGGACAACCTCTACTCAAAAGCAACACCTTCATACCTAATAGTCTTGATGGGCTCTTCGTCCTTCTCTCTATCCAATAAGGGAGAATCCATGTCGAACATTCTCTCATCTGGGGTGGAGGGTTCCTCGGGGTCGTCCAGTCCTCTGCCGCCATCCATGTCGCCACTGTCCACCTCCATATTATCCATAGTAGTGTCGGAGTCTGGTCCAGGGCTGGCTGGCTCTGCACACGAACATCATTATTATCATATTTCAAAGTGCAAATATCGCAGACATACCACTGTGACTGTGAACTAGAACCTACCTCCGTTGAAGTCCACCTCCCCCAAACAGTCCCGAGGTACCTTTGAAGCGCATCGCTTATGGCAGTTGAATCTGCAGTCTGACAGATGGAATTGGAAAAAAAAAGATAAGTGTGGCAGAGCATCACCGACACTTTCTAAAAATCAAACCACTCATCTAAAGTCCTACCTTTACACTGCATGCCCTGGCGAAAGAGACCCTTGAGCAGACGCTTGCAGTACTGGCAGATAGTGGGGCGAGTGTAGGTGTGAATGGCGAAGGTGTGCGGCACCTTGACCCGTCCCAGCACCATCTTCTCCATCCAGATAGGCCTGCCGCTCCAGGACAGGATCCTCTTCCCTGCCTCCTGATGGGACCTCTGCTGCGGGGGGTTGGAAGGATGGAAAGAAACAGAGAAGATGGAGGGGCGTTGGAAAGAATTTAAAACCATATGCAGGAAGGAAGTGAAGCGGAAAATACAGGAACAACAGCCTCAAAGGGAGTATTTGAGTGATTGGGAAAGACAGAGTGAATAATGGCATGGTAGTAGAAGAAGAGAAAGAAATCAGTGGAAAAGAGATACGCCACACTGAGCAAGCATAACTTTGCATAGTTACAACACGATCCCGGTAGTCTAAAAACGGTTATTAGATCTGTCAGGTTTTACCACATATTAAGTTCAGATTTTTTAGTAATGAACCAAGCTGGAAGATCCTGACAGAAATGGGAAGGAAGCTTTCTCCATTTTCATATATGAGTAGATACACAAACATTGACTTTTAATGTCATCTGCATAATTACTTTTCCTGATGACCTTTGTGTGGGGACAAAGACAAGAGGGGAATATTCCAGTGCGGGCTAGAGTGAAAAATGTTTCATTAGAAGGATCTCTCCGCTGAGCGCTGCGCAGCGCAATTCAATTTTCTGCATCAGTGGTGTTCTACAACAGGGCTCAGGAGAGTCCCCCATGGAAGAGAGCCAAATTTGATAAGTAGAAGACGTTTAACAGTTGAGACAAAGCTTGTGAGCAGCGTGCGGATTGACTGCCTCGCATTCTTGGCCAGTTCACCTGGCTCCCCGTCTGATTTAGGATGACGTCTAAACTCATTTTTTGTGTGAGGATGATTTAGAGAACTTAGAATTAAGAGAACAAGCAGATACTGTCGTCTTTCCAACTTTTTCACAATGCTCTCTTTCTATCCATTCCTGTCCAAGCACATGCATTTACGCAACCACCAATTAAGAACTCACCTCTTCCAGGACGACCACGGCATTCTCCACAGGTGCCGGTCGGGGGACGGAGAGGCAGGGTCCGGGCAGTGAGACATTGGACAGTCGCCTCTTCCTGACACCGGTACAGTTATTTGGGATCTTAAAGGCGCAGCGCTTGTGGTAGTTCAGCCCACATCCTTAAAACGTGAAAACACAAATGACATCAGTCACAAACGCTAAGGTAGTATGGATGGTACAGATTACAGCATATCGACCTGCGAGGTGAAAAAGGGGTGAGCATATTTTCATTCTGCAAATCGGCCACACGGTGGCACCACTGGTGGCTTGAAAGGAAAGTATTTTTTACAGTGTTTTTACAGTAAATCAACTACTTCCTTTTAATTTTAATTCACAGTCAGGGGACTTTAAAGGCAGCCTAGTGAGAGGAAAATTAAAGAATATCATTAAAATCTGATCCAACGAGGACGAGCACACTTCCACTGCGATCGGAAAGCATTTCACTAGCTACAGTGCCAAATCTTTCTTGTTTGCTTGCATATCTCCCTGATGCATTGTTGAGGTCAGAGATGTGGTGTGTTTGTGTCTGTGTGTGTGGATACAGTAGGAAAGAGGATGCATTTGCTCCCTAGAGTGGAAGGTCTTCACGTTGGTTAACTCACAGGCTTTCACAATGACACAGCAGGGTTCCACAGAATTCAACGAGGTGTTTTTGTGTGTTTATGTCTAACCTTCACATTTAAGCCCCTGCCGGACGAGACCCCAGAGCATCTCCCCACAGTAATCGCAGAAGGTGGGTGCCTTGTAGGAGTGGACGTAAAGGGCATGGGGTCGGATCTGGAAGTCTTCAACTGTGGCCTGAGCTAGAAACAATACAGAAAGTGGTCGAACTAAAAGTTGGTAAAAGCAAAACAAATCTGGAAAACAGTTTGTTGAAAAAAAACAAAAAAAACAGAGGAATCAAAAAGAAAAGAATGATGACAAAAATATGACAAATAAATCAAAAAGACAAGAAGAGAGCAGCCATTTATCAAATGTATTTCACGTGGTTTTTAATATAAAACCAATATCTAGTCTCACTAACAGAAATGAGATTCTCTCTGCAAGTGCTCCAAAACAAACAAATAAAAGTGCTATGTCTACACGGCTGCAACAGAGGGCGCCACATCCGCAAAGACACTTTTATAACGTCCTACCTTTATGTATGAAAGTGATAAGGCACACCCACGAGACACCAGAGAAAATGCACAATGACCCCGTTATATCAGTCAATCTTTGTTATTAAGAACACAATATCAAAACCACCAGAGCTGAGGACGCGTCCCCATGCCTGTCTCTCTCTTATTTGTCCTTCATGTCGGAGCTGTGTTGTGTCAAACACACACACGCACTGAACTCATTGTTGGAAGCGAGTGTTGGTTAGTCATGGCTGTGAATCATCAAAGATGTGAGGATGCGTAAGATATGGAGGAGACTGCTGCCCAAACTTGTTTGTGCAACTGAAGCTACAGAGCTTGCATTAGCTGTTCCTGTGCAGTCATCGATGTGTTCGCAGTGACCAAAGAGGGAGCAGTTAATCTTTATACTCAGGTGAAACAGAAATACCTGAGCGGTGGCGATAGTGATGTCATAGTGTGTGTGTGTGCGTGTGTGTGTGTGTGTGTGTGTATTTGTGTTCATTTCCTTTGAGGTGACTCAACCGAGCACATTTGCTTTTCGACAACTGAGGAAATGCTCAGCTGTTGTGATTGTGATGAGATGCAGACTTCCAACAACAAATATGACATGTGGCCTGTAAAAACAAATAGACACTTCCGTTGCTAAGAATCTGCTCCACATAAAAGAAAGGAGAAAACATCCTTTAAGAAAGAAATCAATTCAAGATTTAGAGCAGGAAAAAAAACTTTTAGATGTCATAGAAATCCTCACTGGCAATATAAAAAAGCCGGGTCACACGGAATTAATCAGATCTGCTAGCTTGACAAAGCAACATTTCCAAAGGCAGGACAGATCATAGGTCAGCTCTAGGGTCATCCCAAATAACAAACCTTATTTTAATTTTCAACCCACTTACTGGGGCCGCTGCTAATATATCATCTGAGATATTCACTTTTATGCAACATCAACACAGGCATTTCTTTTCTCCATTTCAGAGAAATACTGGCTGGTTGGGGGATTTTTTTGAAGTTTGGGTTTAATTTGAGAGAGAAGAAAGAACTCCGGCAGGTCACATGTCACGGGGTGAACACAGCTCCCTGGCAGAGACACATGAAAGGCGGCATTCATGTGCTTTTTCACACACGTTTGCAAAAACAACTGGTCGCTTCTTAGCAGTCGCGGTGTTATGTAATGCCCCGTCGTGCTAATTAGCATCAAACAACACCAAACATAAACTCGACACGTTGTTTTTCGGAGTGCTTCTCACGAAACGGAGAGGCTGACATGAATGCACTATCTGTTCGAGGCACAGAGCGTTCGTTCGGAGGCCACAAGTTTCCATCTGACAAAAACAAGTTTGCCATATTTATGATTGTAAAATATCAATTTCACAATGCCAGCAGTGGTGAAGAAGGAGCCTGTGTGGCTGAGTGTTTTTAAGGGAGTGAAAAATGGAACAAAGGGACAACGGGTCGGGGCAAAACCTCAAAACCTCATGGGCCGAGATGGCCCGCGCTGTGTCCGCTGTGTCCAGGGCCGCCCTGCACATCAGAGCGTGTTTACAGTCGGCGTGTCTTCTACAATCACTTACTGCGGGGAAAACAAACCCTCTGCTTTGAGCCCACGGCCAAGAAAAAGCCAGTTCTGCCTCCCTCTCGCAGTGAGAGAGATATTCAGACCGTCTCTCTCTCACGGCCGCGGAATCCAACAACAGGTCGGTTCAGGAAAACTGGAAGGGAAAATGACAGGAGACAAATTCACGGGGCGGGAAGAAGAGGCTCATATTTTTCTCTGAACCGAATGAGGGGCTCGGGAACGTGGATCTCCCACCTTGCGCTTCTCAAACAAAGTTGTCTGACACCACGCAAAGCCCCTTTCCTGAAGAAGGCCAAGTTTATTTGAGTGTTAAATGAAACTGCATGTGTTGCACGTGTAGCAAATCTGGGATCCGACTCGTCTGTGACGGTTTTCGTCAGGTATATCTCAGGCTATAAACTGTCAAGCTCCACTGCTTGGGCTTACACTTGCAGATGGATTTGTTGAGGTAGGAGGGATTAGAACGAGAGAAAGCGAGTAGAGAAAGAGAGCAACAGAGACTGACACAAAAGAGAGCACAAGACAAACACAGACAGTCAGAAACAAAAAGGAGGAAGTTCTCCAGTCTTTAGTCTACATTCCTCAGCCCTGATGCCTGCAGTATCCTCAGATCCTGAACCTATACAATCATCCCCCCGCCTAAATCCCCGCAAACAATACTCTCAGCCTTTTTTTCAGCACAGGTGGTGTCAGGTGCTTCCCAGTGGAGACAGATGGAGCAGGAGAACGGATTAGATCCGAACAGATACTCTGAGCCGCTTGTTGGTCTCAGCACCGCACAGGAAGCTGATTCATTCATCGCGGGAAACAACAGAGAAAAACCAAACACCTGCATAGCCGCCCGCTAGAAAGGTTGACAATCTGATGGAAACTTTGATGAGGAAGGAAGAAAAGAAATGTATCACACAATAAAAAGCAGGTGAGCGAGCGGGTGGAGCGCCGGAGTGATTCACTGGCAGCAAATTCAATTGACAACATCAAATTGAACAAGAATAATATTTCATTTTGACTGCAAAGTCTCAGTGAGAACAGAGTAATCTGACCCACTGAAGTTGCTTTGAGCAAGACGCTACAGGCTGTTTACTGGAAGGTTTGTCAACCATGACGAGGCATAAAAACAACACATGAAGCTTCCTCCAGTTTATTAGTTTAAAGAGCTGCAGCAACTAATCAATTACTTGTCAACTGTTTTGATAATCAATTCATCGGTTGAGTCATTCCAGCTTCATTTTCTGGTTCCTTGACTCCTCTGTGACAGTAAACTGAATAAATTGGAGTTGTGGACAAACAAAGACATTTGAGGATGTCATGTTGGGCTTTAGGCGACTCTGATCATTTGTCACTATTTTCAGACATTTTGTAAAACAAACTAACTAATCAATTAACCAAGAAAATGAAATTAAACTTTTGAATTTGCCAGGAGCAATAGTTCACAAATGTCTGTTGGGTTGTTTTTTTCCCTCACAAAAATGCTAAGTAACAATTCATTGTACCACTACTGCTCGTGTTCGATCTAATCTGAGAAGCTGGAGAAAAACAGCGTGCAAAAAAAATTCAACACATTAAAGGGGGGACACTATGCATCTATTCAGAGTTCCACTGCAGCCTACATACCAGAGAGCACCACCTCAATGAGGTCTCCTTCGTGGATGTCCTCTGCCGAGGTCAGCCTCTGCAGGATGTTCTCGTCGTTTAAGTCGTGGCGGAACAGCAGGATCTTGTCGTACATGCCAAAGAAGCCGCACTCTGGGAACTGGGGAGAGGTGGAGATACAAGTGAAGATATTAGTGAAATTCTGAGCCTGACAAATAATGACAGATGATCAACCCTGTACCTCTAATATTTTCTGCAGTAGACCTATAAATACACACAAGCACACACATGCACACACACACACATACACTCGTATTACATCATATCCAGTGGCTTACATCACCATCAGTATGGGGACTAGAGTATTCTGAACCCAGTGGCTCGGGAAGAGAGCTCCTGCTCACACCTCCTTTCCTCCCTTCAGAGGTCTCTACACTATAAAGCAGGAGGACATACCACTAAAAGGACCCTTCAGTGAAGAAGAAGTAAGTCATGTACGTGATGTATCAGTTATATTGTTTAATAAGTGTACACACAATGAAGAATCATCTGGATTCCAGCATGGCCAAGGCCCCCAACTCAGCAGCCACCGTCACTGACGATGTCTGGGCCGAACTAAACCTAGGCGAGCCGGGTCTGACTCAAGCCGAGTGCACCCACGTGAAGTCACATGATCACGCAAGGGGGCGGAGAGGGAGACGGGGAAGGAGGAGGAGGAGGAGGTAAACATCCTGAGAGGAGAATCAGCTCACAGGAAGTGCAGCGGCAGTCAATACTGACTGAGTCACTTCCTGTAACGAGGCAAGCCCTCTTAGAGAGCAACGTTCTTGACACAAGGAAAGGGCTACAACCAAATGATATGAGCACAAACACAAAAAAATTCTAACGTACACTTAATATTGCCTGCTCATCGTAACATCACTTTGCCAACCGGAAAAAGCTGATCAACATTGGACGGATGTTCAGAGCTGTCCTGCAGGGTTTGTATCAAAGCGGGAATTGGGGGCGCAGTTATTTCACACCATGGCTTGGGCCTAGTCGCAGTGCCAAGCAGGCTGGTACTGGAGGATCCACCAGCTGTTTCCCCCTGAACCAGGGTCACACACAATGGGCCACATAGAACAATGCCACTGCGGCCTCGGAGCACCGGGGGTTGGCAAAGCGTCTGGGCACGGGACACACAAGACACCTGGAGCCATTCAACTGCCAAGAATCACAGATACAGAGACAGCAAGACAGATTAATGGCTCCGAAAAAACACGGGTGTATCGGATGACTCGTGTCAACAAAAGCCAGAGGAATGAACTGTCAGAAGGCAAAAAAATTGAATTCTGCACAGAAACTGATGACTACTGAGGCCTGCTCTGGTCTTTCAGGCCGCAGGCAGGGAGACTAACTCCAACAAAGGATCTTGTCCCCCTGCCCCCAACCTACACTCTGATCTCCCAGCGGAGGAGGACAAGTTCCCTTCAGGGATCAATAAAGTACATCATAATATTACTTCTTGTGCAGCAATGGTTTTCCCATGAAAGGCCCTGCTTAGAATAGCATTCATGAACTGTTCACTCTTGGAATAAAGAACATGCAGCCAAAGCAGCATTATTCCTCGCTGTACATATTATGCAACAGTTGCGCTGCACATGATGCAATGTAATGTTGGACCAATCAACCAGGATATTATTTCTGGAAAGATACTTTGATATTTAATCAATTCCCCTCCAATGTATTGGGCTGGAGATAGATAACTCACTGGCAGGTATATCAAAACCCAAACTATCAGTATTGCTGGATTCTACTTGGGGTAATTGGGTGGAAAATAATAGTGTTTTTGTCATTTGGGTGAAGTGACCCTTGTAAATAAATATGGTAATTCAATTCTAGGTGGATGAGAGTGTTGACTTGCATTACTGTGAGAGTGGTCATTCCCAAATGGGGGTAGTGAGGTTGTGTCAGGTTAAAGCTTGCTTATTAACTGTAAAATTATGAACCGCGAAAAAAGTTGTGGGTTCAAATTGATTGGAGGTCCTTTCGGAAATAGAACCACAACGTTCTGACGTGCGCTCACAGTCACAGGCACGTCGCCGCCGTGACACTGATGAGTTGGTAATACTGCTAGAAGTGAGCCTCCACAAACGCCGTGGGCCTGTGGTGTGCTTGAGTGTTCATGTGTTTTTGCCAGATGAGGATATTTTGTGACAATTCACCGTAAAGAGTCATCCTTCCATCCGTATAGGAGTCCACCACCAACCAATCTGAAGGCGATTCCCTCTGCATCACAACTATTGCAAACGCAAACATGCAAAGTTAACAGGAGAAAGTTTTTGCTCAGCCCTGATTGTAACACAAGGCGCGTGCCTGTATAGTGGAACACTTCCAACTCGACATACCTACATCCTAAACCCTGTCACCCTCTGCGGTGATTAATGCTACGTGGCTCAAACCAACACCACGCAGGCAGTGGGGGCATCCTTCCTGAGCCGGCTGCGGTGTCACGGAGGGCTTTTTCCTCCACCCGAACCCGCACGCACATGGGTCGATGCCCAAATCTAGCCAGCTGGAGTCACCTCCCCCCCCATGCAACACTTTCCACTGTATGGATCCCAGGTCCCATTCCAAAGCCGGAGCATCTGCAGGCCAGCAAGTATAACTGATGCTAGGGCAGAGTACACTACTTTTTTCCGTGCCCCGTTAAAGCAAGAGGAAGCCTGAGAGGTACAAGAACAATAGAGTGGCAGGTTTAGGACACCTTTTAACAGAACGTTTGTACAGATAGAGCGATAAGTGATGGCTAACCTGTGGGCCTAAAGCAGCTCCGGGCACACACTCACGCAAAAAAACAAACCATGCTCCTGCACACATATGCGGCCTCACACACCATCACCCGCGCATGCTACTGCACACTTCGCCGAAGCCCGTAGTGACCAAGCATGTCTTTTGTCATCTTCAAACGTGAATCCATTCAGCGGATCAGCCGCGACCACACACGCACACCAAAGACATCGGCGCGGTGGAGCTGTGTGTGGGGTCCACAAGTCAGGCTGGAAAGACGAGTGGAAAGGGGCTTTGCAGTGGTAAGCTTTTGTTAAACGAACTAATCCGCCATTGATATGCTAAATCCTGTTATAAGGAAAGAGAGTGAGAGGCAGGAGAGAAGAGGAAAGAAGGGAGATGAAGAGAGAGGGGGGGGGCAGATCTGAAATATGGTCCTATTTCATTGGGGAGCCAAAAAGAAATTACATCAAGACAGCCATAAAGAAATGATCTGGTTTGAATAACCATGTGTGCCATTTGGCGTTGAGGAGTATTGATGCTATCAGTTGCAAAATGGTATAATTAGGGAAACTCAGAAGTCATAACTCATCCATGGACAACGTTCTGCTGAACATCTCCGCTAGCCCACTAAAATAACCCAAAACCAAAGTGTGAAGACAGGCACTCAGTCACACAGGACAATAAAAAAGCTTTTGTCAAAATAGAATAGTGTTCTGCGTGATTAATGCGGTCGGACGTTTGTGTCTCTGTGCATGGGGTGATGGGTGGCTGAGGTGGGCGGTAAACGGGAAGCAGCATTGCGAGCGGTGCTCAGGCTCTGACAGATTGGCCATGTGATTGCAGCGAGGAAAAGTATGCTGCTTGACCTCCGGCTGCCTCGCACCTTTATTAGTCTGGCAGCAGGCCAGACAGATGTGGAGGACAGTTCCAGTGAAATGTCCTGCTCCAGATCCGTCTGCATGGACATATTGTACATGTGCAGCTAAGTAAACAATGCATTCAAAAAATAAACAGCTCGCTGTAGGTCATGTGCTCACTAAAGCAAAGCTGCAACTAACGATTACGTTATTTCTTGATTAACCTTTTAATCATTTGGTCTATAAAATGCTACCACAGATTCATAAACCTCAAAACGATGTCATCACATAGCTAACTTTTTCAAAATGCAGTAGTTGCTGATTGTTTATCTGTGGATCAAATGATGAATCATCTCCACACTCATGCATTTTAAATGTATCCTTTTATTCCCTGCCAAAGTCAGCCTTTCATGCACACTAACAGTGTTCTAGACTAACAACAATGGCTCTCTTCACAAACACTCTGGATGCCGTTTTGTAATTCTGCATGATTGTCATGTGATCTCTCCCATGTGTGATTTTTTTTCTTTTTTTTTGGATAATCTCGACACACTGGCCTCTACTCTGTATTATAAGTAACTAATCTGTAACAGCCGGACCCCCTTCATGCCTTCCCTGAAGGCATGGAAAAGAGAAACTCAAGCACAAATATCAGTTCAGAAATAAGCACATACACAGTCAGCTGTCATTATACAAATCAATCTATTCCCATCAAGAAAACTAACCAACGGTTCCATTTAATTGGTGACCCAGGACTTCCAACCTTCCACAATTTAAAGATTTTCTCCAGACCCTTGTCATCTGAGTGTGACACAGATCTTGCTTACAGTTCTTTACCCAGTATAGGAGATTTATTTTTGCATTTAACTATTGTTTTGGCAATTTAATGGGACAGTGCACCTGAAGAAATTAACGTGAAAATGCTAGAGTGGATGGAAAACTTTCCACACGTTTTCACCCTGATGCCAATTCGAGCTGGGGAACTGTGTTGAAGATGAATGAGCAAGTCTCTCACTCGGCTACTTCTGAGCTGCCCCCCAAGCGGGCGCTTAGCTCCAGGCTGAAGACTGTTGTTGAGCTGGTCAGCTCAGGTGTGAATGTGCAAAAGTGAATGACTTATACTTATACTGCAGTATGGATGAGCTATAGCACTATAACATCAGAGGGTAGAGGAATATCTAAGCTCCCTGCAGAGGACAGAGGCTAAAGATCTTCATCAAGGTATACTGAGGTTCTGTGAAACACTAAGCCAGAGTCAGGAGGCATAAGGCCGTTGTTCATTTAGCTTGAGGTGGCAAGATAAAAGCTGTCACAAGATCAGTGTGATAGAAGGTGCTTTTTTTTTTCTCAGCAGATAAATAAGTCCATTGACTGATACCTCCAATTATCTAATAGAGCCCCGGCACAGATCACACTGCCCCAGAATCCCTCCCCCAGAAGCCACAAGATGTTGTTTTTTATTTGTTTCTGTTTGATATTTGAAGAGACTCCCTAAGAATACATTAACGAGAGAAGCTGGCTCAAATTACAT